CAAATAGATATTACAAAAAGTAGCTTTAGAAAGAATTTTTTCTTTTTTCATTTTCTTTTTTTCGGGGTGAACTATCCCTTTAATTTATTTTATTATTAATATGTAAATATTTAATTTTTTAAACTAAGAAAGTAAAACTGCCAGTAGGTGGCAGTAAATGTCTTAATGAATAAATCATTGAGTCAATCATTCATTTATTTGATTTGATTCCTTCAAACGGCTGATTCATTCAGGAATTAAGTAAATGGCTTTCTTTATGAATGGGCAATTGAATCATTGGTTCACAGAATCCTTCAAACAAATTGTGTGTTGCTTGGAAACACACAACAGTTCTGCTGTGGCTTTAATATATAATATTTGCATTGGCAAATCTGAGCAAAACACAATATTGAGTTTAAAATAAATCAATATAAAAGTTTTTATTTATGGAACTGTTGTGTAAAATCAATATCACATTTGCACTCGTACTATTCGGGACAAGAATAGCACTTGTGTGATACTGGCTATACTCGTTGCTCGAGGGATACTGCTTAACTATATCATATGATATAAATATGAGACAAAATCTCAAACACTGATCGGTCTGCGCAGCGCTGCTTCAAGTCGAACACACCTATAGAGCTGATCGGTTGTGAAATTAAATAAGATGACGTACGTGAGGTGGGGCGTGTGCGCTAATTGCGTGAACAAATTTTAACGCATTATTTTTTTTCCATAACTAATTAATTGGATTAACGCGTTAAATCGACAGCCCTAGTTAAAACAGATGGGTAGACAGACCTACAAACACACGTCTAAAAACAAGCCGCTATCTTGAAACATGCCATCCTTTAAATACCATAGTTCTGATCAGAGCGCGTCGTAGCGTTCAGTCTTGTCATGGGCGCGCAGATTCTCCAGAGGCAGAGAGAGGCCAGCTGAGGCGAGAGAGGGTGGAAAGCGGGGGAGCTTTTACTTGCCCTGTGGCCTGATGACTCAAAGCACTATGTTATTCCGTCCAAACAGGGGCGGCTCCAGGATTTTTTGTTGGGGGTGCTAAGGAGGGGCTTAACAGTTCAGAGGGGGTGCTAAAAAACACCCACGAGCCGAAAGTAAGTGAAAGTAATGAACGTCTATAAGCTTCAGCTATCTAAATAGCACGCAAATTCAGCCACCTTGTGTTTATATACAGCAGCTTTCGAAAAAAGCAGTTTTTTAAAACAGGTCTATTAATTTATACAATTAATTATAGGCCTATAATTAAAATTATTAACACCGCAGTCATCAATGAAAATTATGAGCAGCCTTATTTCCTGCACCGATTTTCAAAAACAAACCTGTTTAACGCGAAATGCCTTTCTCCTCATGTTTTTCACTATATGGGCCACAATATAAATATTATGGGATTAATTTAAGACAGTTATATACCGTTATCAGCATATGTTGAAGTAGAAACGTCTCACGTTGTCTCCGTTAATGCAGCATTAGAATTTTTTTTACTTTCACTTTCTCTATAGTGAATGACTGACCTTCACCGGCATAACTCTTGCGCACAGTTTGCGCGTTGCTTGCTTGTGTTGCTTGACCCCTCCCCATAAAATAAATTGTTTATAGCCCACATATTATGCACTTTTTTTGTTTTTAATGTTTATTTTTCAATGTTAATGAAAGTGACACCAAAAAACAGGAACATCATTAGGAAACCCTTGGTGGGCTGTGCCAGGTAAGCAAGTTTCTGATGGGGCTATAGCCCCTTCAAGCCCTGCCCTAGCGCCGCCACGTTCAAACATCAACCTAAACATAGCACTGATATTTGAACAACAAAGCCAGACATCACAGTGTAATTTGTTGTAAAAATAACGTCGCTAGTTGTCACACTTTTTAATCAAGTAAATATCTGTTAGGGTAGGTTTATTTCTGTGTAGTCACATACCTTAAAGTCTTGGCTACAAAAGGTAGGCAGGTGTTTAGGTCCACCTTAGGCGATTATACTCGTGCTTATCACATTAGACATATAAATATAAATTATAATTGAATCGAATCCCTGTTTTTAATTGCATTTACATGAGCTCAGATCATCATCATTGCAAGTCATCATTAACAGTCAATCGTCACACTGCAAAACACCAAAATCCATAGTCTGATCACTTCTGCCCAGAGACAGCGTGAGCTGGCGGCTCGGATGTGTGAGATGTGTGCTAATGTCTGACTGGAGAGAGAGAGAGAGAGAGCCAAATACACTGCCCAGAGTTTATAGCTTCCAATGGATATCTAATAGCCCCAGTGGACGTTAATAGATACAGTATCAGAACTGTTGGCGGTCTGATGTAACTTCCCGCCTGGCCTTGATTAATTAAAGAGTTTTTTTGGTTCCTGTGAAGGTACCGTTATTCGTTTGAAGCTTGGCATCATAAGGCCTGCAACAGAACTGGACCCACAAGCCATAATAGGGATGTGCGGTATTTAAATTTGCTTTTTTCATCCTTGATTTGTTTTGGCTCTTTGGATGTGTTAAACTAGTAATGCGTAAATATTGTTAACGACTATCTATCTATCTATTTGAAATGACTATTTATTGTTTGTGTAGAGAACATCTCAGGTTACTTATGTAACCATGGTTCCCTGAGTAGGGAACGAGACACTGCGTCCTCTAGGGGTCGCTATGGGGAACGCCTCGTCGTGACCCGTGTCTGAAACATACATTGAAAAAGCACAAACTCGTTGGCCGGCGACAGCCATGACGTCACTACCGGTGCGACTATAGTATAAATAGGCGCCGGGAGCACACATCATTCACTTCTTCGTCTGAAGCTTGCGTCCGCAGCATGGCAAGAAACCTAGAGGTGTCTTGTTCCCTACTCAGGGAACCATGGTTACATAAGTAACCTGAGAGGTTCCCTTTCATGGAAACTTCGAACTATGTCCTCTAGGGTCGCTATGGGGAACGGTATACCCACGCCACCATGCTGAGGGGAGTGCATGCCAGAACCATGGCGAGCACTAAGTACCAACTCTACCATATTGCTATGGGAGTCGCCCCTGGGACGTTAGACGGCTGTCAGTGACGTTATTCCCTACGGCCAAAGGCCTAGGCTACATACCCCAAAATACTTACCTGTTAGGGCCAGACTCCTGGGCCCGGGGTAGAGCTCAAGGCTTGGAATCAGGAATAGATTCCTTTAAGGGAATACGACCAAGAGCCTAGAATCATACTAGTCTTGGCCTGTCACACAGGGGCTACCGCACGGTTCTCTTCGTATGAGCTAAAGGAACTGTCTCAACAGACCCTTAGTAGCAACACCCCTTTTAAAGTAGGTATCCAGAGGATACATAGGAGGAGTGGTGCCCAAGGCGGAACCGGGGTTTTAAACCACTCAGAAAGAGCACGAAGGTCTTGCGCGTAGCTCTTACCGTACAGGATTTTAGAAAAGTGGCAAAGCATAACGTGCACACTTACCAGCTATGTGGATTTTAGAAAGTGGGCAAAGCATAACGTGCACACACTTTAAATACCGTTCTAGGGGTTCTCGTGGCACCCTGAAAGAGCAGTGCATGCCGATTGCCCCCTCGGAGACATTGCGTGCGTGCTCTTTGCCCAAACAAACAACGCATAGATCGTGTGTGTCATCAAATGTTAAACAACGTCAACGCTGATGCACACATCCTTAAACACTTTGCTAGTGCTCGCCATAATGAGATGAATAGATCGCTCTTACCACAGAAATGCAGGCTTCAAACAAAACAGTCAATGAAGACGAAGAAGAGAATGATGTGTGCTCCCGGCGCCTATTTATACTATAGTCGCACCGGTAGTGACGTCATGGCTGTCGCCTGCCAACGAGTTGGTGTTTTTTCAATGTATGCTTCAGACACGGGTCATGACGAGGTGTTCCCCATAGCGACTCCTAGAGGACGCAGTTTGAAGTTCCCATGAAAGGGAACAGCCACTGGCTCTGCACCCTCTATCTTAACTCACTCTTGCAAACCTTACATCCACTTAAGAAGCCTGCGATCGGTGAATGAGCGGCGCCCTGTGGTTCAAAATCACTTTCTCGAACAGTCATCTATATATTCATTTTTTTAAAAGAGAGGGAATTTTTTGTTTATTCTTTTATACTTTCTTTTATCTCTATGTTAGCCTTTTCTAATCTAACTTTGTTTTGCAGCACTTCTCATGCTGCAACCTTAGAATGAATCCCTTTGTTGTATGTATCCCCTATTTGTTATTTTCCTCTGATGGTTTTCTGTTGATTATTAATTGGAAAAATATGTAAACATTGCACGTAGCATATGAAAGTGTGCACTTCTTTCATGTTCACAGGTATAGAGGAGGAAAGAGGCATTATGTTGGTGGGTTGGCTTGCATCACTGCACCTGTTTTCTACATAAAAACAATGAATGAGTGGATGAGCCCCATGATAAAAGCAAAAGAGGGGGGAGAGAGAGTGGAATGAAATGTGAGGGGGAGGCACAGCAGTCAGAGATGCTCCATTTGTAATCGTTGACAATTTAATCTGTCAGTTTTGGGGACAGTAGGAAGAGCGAGTGAGTGGCCAGCGAGTGAATGCTGACGGCTAACTATAAAGGCTGTCAGCAGTATCGAATGCATAGACGGTGAGAAGTGAGATGGCTTTCTGAGATGAAAAGCGAGAACAAACTAGTCAGGACGTTGCAAATCAAATGTATATGTTTATTATAAAAAATATATTATTTATAAAAGTCAAATATGTCGTTGTGATAAAATATAAGGCATCGTTCTTATGTAGGGGAAATGTCATTTGCTGTGAGCAATTTTTTGTATAGAATCCCATCTAGTCACCTCAGCTGTGCACTAAGAAGGGGAGACAATGAAAAAAGGGCGGTGGCACTGTCTTTGTGATTGAATGCAGACGTGTTTTAAATCGATATTAATGAGAATGTTTTGAAAACAAGATAGATGTTGTAAAAAGCGAAAGAAGGCGATCATTTTCTTACTCGTGTTTTTTTTTTTTTGTATTCTTCGTGGCGCATCTGGTTGTTAATAGGCTTGTCGATGTTTTTGTTCGAAGGTGCTGAAATGCAGTGAGCTTCGCTGGTTAGAGCGCGTTGCTCCCATCCCCCGCCTGTACAGCACAGGGTAAGGGAGGGGGACAGGAAAGAGAGAGCGATAGGCAGCACCCTTGTGAGGGGAAACAAGAGTCGGCTTCACGGAGAGGAGAGAAGAAAAAAGAGCTGGGGCGCAAACAAAAGAGAGAACATGGATGAAGCAGAAAAATGTCTGTTTAAAAAGGCAGCGCAGCGGAGGCTTTGGTCACCCTGCACATAGTCCGCCCGTCTTTTGGATGCCGTGGTTTGGAGCTGTTGCGCGGGGAGCTCTCAAGGCGGAAAGCGGTTTTTAATTCGTCTGTGGATGTTGCCAGCTTGCGATGGCTGTTGCAGGGCGATGTAGCTGCATAAAAGAGAACGTGCCTCTTTGTTTTTGTTTATTCATTGTTCTATTAAGTGTCCTTACAAATGCACAAATTCGCTACAGCATTCAGGAGGAGCTGGAGAGCGGCACTGTCGTTGGTGATCTTGTTCGGGATCTCGGGCTGGATCTGCGAAAGCTTTCGGCTCGTCGGATCAGGATCAGCTCCGACAGTGCGAGGCGATACTTCAGCATCAACCACAAAACTGGTAAGCTTGTTATAAGCGACCGGATTGATCGCGAAACGCTCTGTGAATTCAGCGGCACCTGCACGCTTAGTCTCGACGTGGTGTTAGAAAACCCATTCGAACAGCACAACGTGGATGTTGAGATTTTGGATGCAAATGACAACTCGCCGCTTTTCCCCCGAGACGAGTACCAGTTGGAGATCTCCGAGGGCGCACAGCCAGGCGCGCGGTTTTCCATTGAGGGCGCGCAGGATTCTGACGACGCCTCAAATTCCGTGCGCCATTATCGCCTCACCTCAAACGAACACCTGGCGCTCGATTCAACCAAACCACCTGCAGACGGAAAACACATAGAGCTCGTGCTGAAAAAACCTTTCGACCGTGAGTTTTTGCAGTCGCACCAGTTTCTACTCACCGCTACAGACGGCGGATCTCCTCCGCGCTCAGGCACAGCTAAAATCAACGTGCGCGTTTTGGATACAAATGACAACGTGCCAGTCTTCGGCAGTTCCGTATACAAAGTGAAACTGCGGGAAAACTCTCCTTTTGGCGCGCTGGTAATTAAATTAAACGCCACTGATAGAGATGAGGGCTCCAATGGCGAGGTGTGTTACTCATTTAGCTCTTACACGCCAGATAGAGTGAGTCAGGTATTTTCTGTTGACACAAACAGTGGAGAAATTAGAGTTAAAAGCAATGTGGACTTTGAAGAAACCAACAGCTATGAGATGTATATCCAGGCAGCAGACAGAGGCCAAGGGGCCATAGTAGTGCACTGTAAAGTAGTGGTGGAGGTGCTGGATGTGAATGATAACCCTCCTGAGATTGTGCTCTCCTCTCTCTCCAGCCCAGTTCGGGAGGATGCTCGTGCAGACACTGTGGTGGCTTTAATAAGTACAAATGACAAAGACTCTGGACAAAACAAGCAGGTCAGCTTGGACATCATCCCCCCAAATCTACCTTTTAAAATAAAATCATTCCGAAACCATTACACCATTGTTACCTCTGCCTTCCTGGACCGGGAGACTATACCATCATACAACGTCACAGTTACAGCCACGGATGGTGGAACGCCACCTCTTTCATCATCAATGACAGTACGAGTTGAAGTGGCAGATGTAAATGACAATCCACCACGTTTTGAACAGACTTCATACACTGTTTATGTCTTAGAAAACAATGTGCCCAGTGCACCTCTGTGTGTCGTCAAGGCAACAGACCCCGATGCCGGCGAAAACGCTCGCATCACATACACCATCCTAAATGACAACAACCATGGTATTTCAGTGGCATCGTATGTTTCTGTCAAACCTGCCACAGGTGAGGTGTACGCACTGCGATCCTTTGACTTTGAGAAGTTGCGTGAGTTTCATTTCCAGGTTAAAGCTCAAGACAATGGTGTGCCACCTTTGAGCAGAGTGGCAACTGTTTATATTTACATAATGGACTCCAACGACCACAGCCCTCAGTTTGTTCGCCCTGCAGCAAACGGCTCACTCTCCACAGAGACTATTTTGCGTAACTCAGAGGCAGGGGTCCTTGTTTCACGTGTGCTGGCTTGGGACTTAGATGCTGGAGAAAATGCCTGGCTGCTATTCAGCCTCCATCACCCGCCAGAATTGGACTTGTTTAAGGTGCACGAGTACACAGGTGAAATCCGCTCAACACGGCGAGTAAACGAGGACAATTCTACTGTCTTTAGCCTCACAGTGCATGTACGAGATCATGGTTTGCCTCCTCGCTCCGCATCTACAACAATCAACATTGCCGTCATGGAGATCCCACCCAAAGTGGCCCCAGACCCAAAACGCATTATCAGGCCACACGGCACAATGGTATTCTCCCGTGTAACCCTCTATCTTATCATTGCCCTCAGTGCAACCACCTTTGTTTTCTTGCTCACCATCTTTGTCCTAGCAATTGTTCGCTGCCATGCCTACTGCAGCCAGCCAGATGCTTGCTCCTGCTCACCTTGCTGTGGGTCGAAGAAGAAAAAGAAGACAACAATGAAGAAGGTACCCAAAGATGGTGGAGGTGGTGGTGGGGCAACAGGTGGTGGAGGAGGTGGAGGTGTGGGCGCTGCTGGTGGGGTCACAGTCCAGCAACAGTCTGCGGTGATGCGGAGAGACCTGAAAGTGGAGCCACACTACATTGAGGTCCGAGGAAATGGCTCTTTAACCAAAACATACTGCTATAAGACCTGCCTGACCGCCACCTCAGGAAGTGACACTTTTATGTTCTACAATACGGGCCGGCCATTGAGTGGGACTTGGGGCTCGGGGGCAGACCGTTTCTTCACAGGACAGAGTGGGCAGTTTGTGCGCAGACTGAGCATGCCCGACGCTACGGCAATACAGGTGTGTGCAGTGCCCACACTGTTATAGCATCCATTAAGTGACTCATCCATCTATCCGCCTCATCCATCCATGAAGAGAGGAGAAATTATCTTCACTCTCAAACCTTTTCACTCTCAGATATGATGATGATTTAGGAGTAGCCCCAACTTTTTTTGTTTTTCTTCCAAATACACACACAAAAAAAAATGGTGTTGAAACAGTTTTCACTCAGAAATTGCTAGTAAATTCCACAATTAATTACAAAGAGATAGCAAGTAAAACATGCTCCAATAATCTTTTCTGAAACTTATAAATAATTTTATAATAGTTTAATAAAGTTGTTTAGTTGTATTGCTTACTTTTTCAGTAGTGGAAAGCACAGGTGTTTTGTCTGGTGTATAGCAGGGCTCAGTAATGGATCCTGTTATATTGGGAGCGTTTTTACTTTTTCTTTTTATGCCTCATTAATTCACAGCAGCAGTCTTCAGTGTGCCCTGCAGAATGCATGCGTGTGCAGTTTTGATGATTTAGGGTATCAGAATCTCTTTCCACTTGTTTATAGCTGTTATCAAATTGCATTTCATTAGTTATGAATTTAGAGAAAAACACTCTGTAGGGTCCACCAACTGGTCCAAGCATAGTTGGCAATGGCATGGCAGAAGGATTCCTGGAAGTTACTGTCTTTCCTTGTATGCAATGCATCGATATTTGATAATCAAATTTAGATAAACATTTGATCATTCTGTTTAACTCTTTAGTTCATATTTTACTAGTTCATTAGGATTCTGTGGCTCAAAGTCTCTAACTACCGTTAACACGGATCTCATGGTTGCAAACTCGCCAGTCTGATCATTAGCCAGAGATTATGACTAATATTATTTAATACACCTATGCTTGCTATTATTTCAATAGTATTTTTGTATAGCCCCCTGCATAACAACTCAAGCAGTTAATCAGAAATCTAGAATCCCTCCTGCTCCATCTAACCTGAAATCTAGTATGTACTTAACCCTGGACATAGATTTGTGGTAACATACAGTAGGCCTTCACTTTATCAATTTGAGAAAATAATTTCAGAGTAAGTCAGATTAAATCCAAACTTGACAATTTATTCACCAGATAATCAAGATAGCTAATAATCCAAAATCCAATTCAGACAATGTAAAGCATTTGTCAATCATACAAAACACCCAATAATACAAAAGTGAGAGATCTTAAAAGCATTTACCTGGCAATGAGAGCTACACACACTGACTGCATGGAGATCTGTCTACAGATTCCCTGAACCTTTTGCCACCCTCATTTCAATATCCAGATAAGCCATCAATTTAACAAACAGTGCAGTTTGCTTATTATAAGGATTTTGGCACATCACTCTCGGAGTTGTGAGTGGTGAGAATTCTTCTTTGATTTATTTGGGAAGATGCATCTCATGTACATACAAGAGTTGCATACAGTACACTTAAAAAAAAATGGTTACACTTTATTTTAAGGTGTTCTTGTTACAGTGTAATTATACATATACGTACCAAATTATATTAATTAACTACACTACATGTACTTACTGTAAGAATCCACCCGCCAGCCCAAAAAGCGGAATCCAGCGGCCTGGTCGAAGGTTTAATGCGTATTCGGTCTTTTCCTTGCGCTTCTGAATTTATCAGGATTTAGTTAAAATTTTAGTCTTGCTCCGTGTTCAATCTGACTCCAATTTCACATGATCAGTTTTTAATTAGAAATATTGCTTAGAAATATTGTCTAAATTTAATGACCACAAATATTAATTTAGATATTTGATTATTCCGGACTCAATACTTTCGATTATCAGTTCACTGGGGACCTAATGTCTCTTTTAAGTCTCACGTTGGCCGTACATGGATCTTACGATCACAAATTCGCCAGTCTGATGTTAGTCAGAGGGTGTAGGTAGACTAATACCTGTTTTGCCTGCCGCCTACTGCTTGCTGATGACAAAAAGTGTAATTCACTTAGTCCTTTCCCGTACAACTTGCTAACATCAGCGATAGACAGAAATCAGATGGTCTCCGATGACGTGCCTACTGCTCCTACCATTCATGAGCCTCCAGTTTGACATATCCTGGCCGTAGATTTGCTGTAACAAAAGCCTCCTCACAGTTTACTAGTCATAATGATTTCAAGAAAAGATCAGAATAAATCAAATATAACAATTTATTATCTGTCAGGTAAACTTGTATCATGCCAATTACATAATCAATTCAAAGATATCAAATCATTACAAGACATCAAATTCTCAAAGATAAATCTAAGAGCAAATGATGCATACCTGACTTCAGCAAAATACATAGTATAGAGTGTGTGGACACATTCCATGCTACGGGCTTTCTGGCTACAGAATCGCAAAGACTTATTTGTAACTATCCCTTAAATACTACCAGAACAAAAACAACGAAATCTTTAAATCAGTTGTAAAAACATAAAAGACCTTTTGTTGTTAGGTTCTGTGATCCAGGGTCACACCTGGCTGGAGAGAGATAAACATTCTCAAGGGGGACACACCCCCTCTTCAACACAACACAATTCTACAAAAGTTTTAAATCTTTCTCATAATATAAATGACTACTTTGAAATTGAAACCAATTTACCAATCGCACAAAGACCTTTAAAATGACACCAAACATGAAGGGGAAAAACAACAGGTTCACAAGATACATGATATGAGGGATATGCACATTCTTAATGAACTTTGAGTGAAAAGAGGGAGTGAACTTTTGGGGGAAAAGAGGGAGAGGCAGAGCGGGCAGGGGTAGAAGGGGGTCATAAATGGGCGAGGAGAGAGGTGTTGTTTGCCCTTGAGTTCCTGAGTATTGGCTTCATGAAGAGTTCATTTCATAAGGAAATAATTTCACTCCTTTCATTACTATATGGTTAGGATTTGGGTTTGGCTTATGGTTGCTTACATGTAATTATGCACAATTAATTGTTATTATAATAGTAAGTACATGTAACGTGCAACAAGGACAACTTTAAAATAAAGTGTTACCCAATTTTTTTTTTTAAATAGAGCACAGTGTACTGTATTAATATAAAGGATTATTTTAGGTGTGTTACCTTTATTTTGATTTTTGCACTTCATTGCTATGTGTTTTAAGGGTTAATGGAAATGTAATGTAATGTCTGTAAAAGTAATAGATAATGTCCTGGCAGAAAATTACCAGGTCTTTTTTTTTTTTGTAAAATTGATTTCCCCCTATTTCTAGATCTTAACAGCGGTTTATCTTATTGTTAAGGGAATTAGACTTGGGCTTTTTTTATTTTATTTTTTTTTTACGAGATGCACTGAGGGAGACCTTTAAAAAGACACCAAACGTAAACTGTCATACTCTTGTTCACTCAGATTTTGTTTACTCTGAAGTGTCCTGAGTTTAGGAGGAGAGGAGGGGGAGAGAGAGAGACAGGGAGAATGAGTGAAGGAAGCAGATGTGGAAGATCAACAGTGAACTGTTGAGGACGTTAACTTCATGGGAAAGAGTTCAGATTTGATTCTTGTAAGAGTTCTTTGTTTTCTCGGACAGTGGCCTCCTCTGGGTTCAGATATTGTGTAACCAGCCTTACAGCTCTCTTTTTCTGCTCTCTCTCTCCCTCTCTCGCACATGGTCTCTCGACCTCCCTCTCTCCAGCCTGTTCTGCAGTGCGCTGTTTCAGGACAGATGGGTGTGTTTATATTTAGTGGTGTGAAGCTCAAGCAACACTCCAGTTTCTCTGTGCCCACAGTTAAATCTCTCTAGAGAGACTCTCTGGTCTTGCTTCAGTTTAGTTACACAGCTTCACATTGGACATCATCCACCAAAACCAACTCATAGGTCTTTAATCTGGCAACACAGGTTAGCATGATTGGTTCTCTGATAGATAGATAGATAGATCTCCTTTAAACACTTTGTACACATACACACTCATTTTTAGATGGTGTCAGGTAAACTTGTATCATGCCAATTACATAATCAATTCAAAGATATCAAATCATTACAAGACATCAAATTCTCAAAGATAAATCTAAGAGCAAATGATGCATACCTGACTTCAGCAAAATACATAGTATAGAGTGTGTGGACACATTCCATGCTACGGGCTTTCTGGCTACAGAATCGCAAAGACTTATTTGTAACTATCCCTTAAATACTACCAGAACAAAAACAACGAAATCTTTAAATCAGTTGTAAAAACATAAAAGACCTTTTGTTGTTAGGTTCTGTGATCCAGGGTCACACCTGGCTGGAGAGAGATAAACATTCTCACAGACCCCTAAATGGGGACACCCCCCCCTCCTCAACACAACACAATTCTACAAAAGTTTTAAATCTTTCTCATAATATAAATGACTACTTTGAAATTGAAACCAATTTACCAATCGCACAAAGACCTTTAAAATGACACCAAACATGAAGGGGAAAAACAACAGGTTCACAAGATACATGATATGAGGGATATGCACATTCTTAATGAACTTTGAGTGAAAAGAGGGAGTGAACTTTTGGGGGAAAAGAGGGAGAGGCAGAGCGGGCAGGGGTAGAAGGGGGTCATAAATGGGCGAGGAGAGAGGTGTTGTTTGCTCTTGAGTTCCTGAGTATTGGCTTCATGAAGAGTTCATTTCATAAGGAAATAATTTCACTCCTTTCATTACTATATGGTTAGGATTTGGGTTTGGCTTATGGTTGCTTACATGTAATTATGCACAATTAATTGTTATTATAATAGTAAGTACATGTAACGTGCAACAAGGACAACTTTAAAATAAAGTGTTACCCAATTTTTTTTTTTAAATAGAGCACAGTGTACTGTATTAATATAAAGGATTATTTTAGGTGTGTTACCTTTATTTTGATTTTTGCACTTCATTGCTATGTGTTTTAAGGGTTAATGGAAATGTAATGTAATGTCTGTAAAAGTAATAGATAATGTCCTGGCAGAAAATTACCAGGTCTTTTTTTTTTTTGTAAAATTGATTTCCCCCTATTTCTAGATCTTAACAGCGGTTTATCTTATTGTTAAGGGAATTAGACTT